AAGTCTAAAGGTCTTAAGTGCATGAGGTCTAAACTTATCCGAGGTGCAGAAGCCCTCCCTGGCTTGCTCTGTGATCTTGGGACTCCAGTTGCTCGGGGCAAAGGCCTGACCAGAGTGTGCCCTGGTTCTTTCCAGACCTATGCTATTAGGCTTCTGGTGGGATGAACTCAGACATTGTGTCATGTAAGAAGCAGTATTTCCATTTTAAGAATTTAGTGCAAGGCTCCTGGATCCCAGATGTACTGTTCTGTTCCAGATTAAGCACTTAAGTTACGTGTGAAATGGGTAGGGGAGGGAGACTTAGACTCTTTAACAGCCATCATGCTGCATAGGAAGCCTTCTGACCCTAGCTGGTAGCTAGGATGTTGAAGGAAGGAGCCTCTCAAATTCTCCCTTTCTTGTGTGGCTGAACATGTGTGTGTCAGATGCTGATTCACAGACCCAAACCATCACCTTAAGATAAGGTACTTTCTAAAGGAGAACTTGAACATTTTCTTCCATTTTAACATGCAGATGAGGAATGAGGAGGCTAAATACTTCCTTGAGCCAACATAAGGGCTGACCTTGAACGCATGTTTCCTGCTCTTGCATATCTGTGGTGACAGTGTGGTACAGCTTTATTAGCTGCAGTGGAGTGTATTGCTTCCTTTGTATCTCATTCCACCTGTTCACAGTCCTTCCACAACTTTACAATCACCTGGAATAACTTAGAGCCTCTCTTTTATGGCACTGTCTTGGAAATGTGAATTCAAATCATTGGGTTTGGCAGTGGGCTCATTCAGGGTGTATCCTGAGTGAGTTTACTGGTTAGATGGATTGTGCTCCTTGGCTTTACTAAGATGGCATCAGTCCTAAGTAAGAAAAGAAACTTTAGGTACCAAGAATGTTTCAGTAGAAAAGGCTGATTTGTTGGGTACCCATGTACAAAAGTGATTATTTTGAGGATTGCTATTGTGAAATTAAACAGAAAAATCTGTTTTGTCTCTTTTTGCATTGCTGAAGACCTTATGTGACCAAACACTTTGGAATTCTGTATGAAATGTTACATAAACAAAGGAAAAATATATCAGAAATATCTGTATGCTAGAAAATCTCAATGCAAAAATGAAATCCTGAAACCAGGACAGACAGAAAGATTGATTATTATTGAAAAATTATTGTAATAGAGTACCACCTTTTTCACTCTCTTCTAGAAATATTTTACTACTAAGATCTAATGAAATATTTTATGCTATATGATTTGTTTTGTGTGGGCAAAATGGATTTGCACTATAAATTGTGCACATTGTTTTATAGCTTTATTCTCTAATATAGACTTGAATGGCATAAAATGGAAAATAGTATACAGAATTATTGATTTCCCTGTTTCCCAAACAGGACAATGATCTCAACTTAGAGCTGTGGTTGATGTTCTTCTCCCTATAAAGCAAATAAGTAATGCAAAACTCCTAGAACAAACTTGGTCATTGGGGCATTTTAAAATTGTGTATCATCTGAAGTGATTTCAGATTCCTGCTTGGAAAACATGAATTCTTAATAGTCAGTATAAGTTTTCACAACCTGTGAAAGGTTCCTATGAGGAAAATAGTAACTGAGCTGCTGGATTTTATTAATTAATCTCTGCCAATATTGTATCTGAAGACATCATAAAATGCTGAGTTTAAGTTAGAAAGTGTTTTTTGGATCTTATCAAATCATTGGTATCTTTACTCTGTATGTCATTTCCTGGAAAAAGAGCCACCAGAAGTCAAAATAGCAAATACGAACTCAGGAGACTTTAGTAGTTCGGGAGCATTTGCCGCAGAAATAACAGCCTTTTTCTTTTTAGCTTTCTAAACAAGCAATGGACATTGGAACAAAACTTCTATGTTTTAATGGTTGAAAAATTGAAGTTTGAACTACTTTTAAGGATAGGGACTGCATTCTCTCTGTTATGTCAGCCTATTATCCCTTGAATATAACAACTGAGGAATAGAGTTCTCAAGAGCCTGACTGTTGTTTGTGGCAATTTGATTGTAACTATGAACATTTTTCCCCTCTGAATTAATCTGTGGAACATTTTTTGCTAGATGCCAATTTTTCTGTAGCAGACATGATTAATATAACTAGTGTTTCAAATTAAAAACATGTTTTTCTGAAACTCCATGTGCATATAACATGTGAAAGGCATGGATGTCTAATGTTTTTTCCATAACTATGCATGGTGGTGTCAGTTGGTTTTGCTGGGGGAATATATTAGAGCCAGACCTGGACTAACCCTAAGTGCTTTTGAAAAAATTGACCTTACTCTTTGTTATATTTTATATTTGTAACTTCTGTCATGAGTATAAATTGCATACTACTCATCATTTCGGAAGACTAGATTATATGGATGCCTACACTTTATATTTTACTAGGCTTGGCCATATAAACTTCTTTTATACTACTGTTGTTAAGTCCAACTTAGCATTTGATGTTTTCGTTAATACTATGTAAAGAATAGCCAGACCCCAGCCAATTGTCATGAGCTGTATTTGCCAATACAGACCTGAAACAGGATAAACATTTTCAGAATAAAAACAGTGGTTAGTTGGAATGGTGTAGCTTTGACTTGCTATCTTCCATTATTTCAGTGAAAGAAAGGGGTATGCTGAAACATACTCTTTTTCAGCTGCTCTACTTCGTCTGTCAGTAACTACCATCATTCAGCCTGTAAGCAGTTTGCAAGACCATGCATATGGAAGACTTGCATATGCAGACCATGTAGCATGGAGATTGGACTTCAGGCTCATGCAGGAGAGGTAGCTCTTTGGGAAACTTTCTGGATGGTCTTCCAGTTACTGTTAAAACTGATGACACGGTGCAGACCGAGTGATGTAACAGCATGGGTGATTGATGACTTAGACCTCAAGTGGCTACAATTAAGAATTATGTGTAAGAATCCTTTCCATTTAACAACTGATAGTCTGACATTATTGCATCAAAACTTGTGCGTATTTGTGGGAAAATCAGTGATGTGGATACTTAACACATTTGAGTATATAGGTTGCTATAGTAGTATTATCTCCAGGCTGGTGATGCAGAGTGTTCAGAGAAGAACAACTGAACCAAATTTCTACTGAAGGCCTGGATGTTCTCATGTCTGAAATGTCACTGAAGTTCCATTCACTTCATGGAATGTGGCACTTCATTAGCTGCTCTTCATTTTCTGTCCACCATATACTTATGCCAGCTGTTTCTGTTTGCTGTTTTAATTTACATCACGTTTTCTCTCCATACGGTTGTTTACATGAGCCCAGTAGAAATCAAATGTCAGCTTCATTCTTATTTCCAACCTTGTTCTTAATATCATCTGAAAAGCAAATTTTACAACTAAATGAGCTTTTTTGAGTCTGTGCCACTATAATTAAGCAGTTTTCTTCAAAGTAGCTTTGTAATGTTTTTCCTCACAAATGCTTCCATTAGTTTTCTATTCTCAGAGGCTAAACTAACTTTAAAGTCACTATTTTTCGTGACGTTAATGTTCTTTAAAATTGAGTGCTCCCATTTATTTTTCTATAGAAAAGTAGTTTTACCTTCTGTAAATTAGTCAAAATGTATCCCAAAGCTCACCTGCTTCTATCATTTTCTCTATAACTTATTCAGTATATGATGAAGTTGTTTTACTTTTCTTAACCTCTTCCTCTGTACTAATATATAAATAAGTAGCATCACTATGAATACTGTTCTCAAAATTAAGACACAAATTCTTATTCTTAATTTTAATTTGATTATTAATTCTTAATATTGGGTTATTAATAAAAGGGTATACTTCCTGAAAAGTCCAGTTTTCTGCCTTATTTTTTCTTCCGATGCTCTGATTATCATCATGTATTCAGTTTTGGAAAATATTTTGGTACTGGGTTGAATGACAATCTTTTTAAGATACTTGCGACTTTGCAACATTGCAAATACTTCACAGTATTGCAAAGGAACTAGAGCAGGAAACAACGTGAGACATTTTTAACTGTAGAAAAGTAAAGTAATTTCTCATCCATGAAGATAATTTTAATGCCAAACCTAGTAACAATGGAAAATACTAAATTCCCTCTCATGAATTAGACTTTTTTTCTCCTCAGTCATAAAATGTTGGATTTACTGACTTTCCAATTTCTTTGTAAGTTTCATATTGTTACACATTTTTAATTATGTTTGTCGGTATTGAGTATATTAAACCGTTATATATTATATAATGTATTTGCTGTCTCATCTAATCATTCCACATGTTAGCATTGTACATAAAGTTTAGATATCTCTCTGACAAATTTGAAGAGCTATATTTTGCAGAGGTTAATATCAAGAGCATTTATTTTGATTCCTTTTTTAAATATGTAACAACAAGTTGTCATTGTGATTAATAATCATAAATGTAGTCTTGGTAGTAATGAATTTTGGATATGTACATATGGCTATATGGATGAAATATTCTGTTGTCTGTAATTTTTTCTCTCATTTTTAACTAACTCAGTTTGGGGTTCCTGTTCTATCCTTTTTTATCGTTTTAAATTCTATTAATCTGCTTTGGCTCTGAAGTGAGCTTGGCTCTAAATCAGATTTATGGTTCTGGCAGTTTAAGATACTAAGGTACACTCATATCTTAGACTTTGCAGCCTTAAATATAAATTTTAAGTTATTTCATGTCTCCCCTAGTTTTCTTGCTCTTGAATTTATATTTGTAAACTGTGTTCATTTTGTTTGATATGATTCTGTTGAATTTAGTCAGGGTTTGGATTTTCCTCCTGAATCTGTGAATAAGTTCATTTTTTTTTCTTACGTTAGTCAAATAAAAGTGAATGCAGTGCAGGTTTTCCCATTAGAGTCAACATTTGAACTATTTTTTGTAGATGAGTGGGTGGAAAAAAAAAAGTTTGAGTTTACTAGGTTCTCGCACATGTACTAGATAATAATTGTTCTTTCCCTATTTAAAAGGATATTTCAAATATTTTTAAGACAGTCTGATTTTTTGTTTTGTTTTGTTTTAGGTTTCTCAGGCTGGAGATTTGCTTATTGAAGCTTACGTGGAAAGAAAGGAGCCAGACTGTAGTATTATAATCAGGGTTAGTGTATAAAAGTGATGAAGTGTTTTTACTAAGCACTTTCACATTAAGTATACCAAATTTATTTTCATACATGTTTTTATATAATTACATAATGAAAGTATGAATTTATACCTATCGCTATTCTTTTAGGTATTTTTTTAATTGGCTGTGTTGTCTACTATTGTTGTGATATTTACCTTCCCATACCCAAGAAAACACAAGGCTTTTTTGTTTTCCTAATTTTTCAAGGGTAGAGAAAAGGAATTTCAAATTACCAAGTTATCAGTCAACTAAAAATTATAACTTCGATTTCATGGAACAAAATAAGGAAAGCATGCTGGGGTCTGACAAATCATTTATGGGTTTCCAATTCAATATATCTGCTGCTGGTTTGTTTTTTTCTTTTTTTGGTTTGTTGTTTTTTGTTTTTAAGTCAACTTAAAAACTGCAGGGAGGAAGATTTTGAAAAAATAAATCAGAAGTCAGTAATTGTAATATATTATAAACTGACTCAATTTGTATTACAGGTATCACCTTTGATGGAAGCAGAAGAATTAACTAATGATGTTTTAGGAATCAAGAACATTATTCCCAACAAAGATGATATCTGGGCTGCTTTTGAAGTACTTGAAAATGGAGAACTGGGTTAGTGAAACTTAGTTACATGTGTTCATCAAATTTTACTATTTTTATTTGTAATTGAAGGCATTTACAAGTAAGTTGAGATTCTGACATGTCATCACAGAAAAAAAGTTTGCTTATTTGTTTCAAATGCACGTTAATGATCATGGTGTCTTTCTGACAGAAATTAATTTCCTGCTTGTGTTCCTGGCATGGGTCTGGTACCTGTCCAATGCATGGTGGTATTCAGTTTGTTATACTCAATCCTGAATTTTCTTGCAAGCTATTTTACGTTTTAAGATACACTGCCCTGAAAACTAACCCTGAGAAGGCAAGAAAATTAGAATCTTACATTTCCTAAAAAGTAATTTTCTCCTGATAGTTACTGTTGTTCAAGGTGAAAATGACTGGGTTTGGATATTTACCAGCATATGATGACCTCAGTAAAAGGGTAATTGGACATATGTGTTGACTGCTTGCTGTCCAAAATACTAAAATTGCAATATTAAAAATTAACTAAATTATTTACATACTGAAAAGTTGCAATAATTGATAATTTTATCTAACCGAATGCAGAACATTCAATACCATATGCTTGTACAAAATGGAGTCTATAGGGGTTTTTTTTAGTAATTCGTGCTTGATGGATATTTTGTAAATGAGGTGTGTTACCAGTAAAATAGCTAATGCTTTTCAGCATGATGATTTATGTACCGTGTAATCCATGATGACAGATGGTCTTAAACGTAACTATAAATGAAACAGTAGGTGTTTACTCCAGGAGTGCTGGTGTTCTAGGAAGATGTGGTGATTTGCCAGTGTTTCCTGCTTTTGATTTGTAAAGTTCTCCTCCTTAAAATGGATTTTTCTCTGTTGTACAAAGGCAACAAGTTGTTTTATCACATCAGAGTCCACAGTTTTTCAAAGGTTGAAAAGGTATTTTAAAAGTTTTACCATTTAAAACAAAAGGGCCAGAAGAAATGATGTTATAAAGTAGGGATTGAGCTACTGTCTACATAATAGTATTTTTCTTAGACTGCTTTGTTGTCGTGTCTGAATAATAAAATCTTCATATAACTGGTATAGCAAGTTGCAGCTAAGGTAGTTTTTTTGCATCCCAAAACAATGGTAGCTTTTTCTCTCTCTTAAATGTGTTATTTGTAGGTGCCGCTTTCTGAAGCTCTGGTGTTCAGGAAAATATGTTCTGCCAGAGTGTAGTGCTGGACAGTCCCAAAGCAGCTGTTGACATTTCATATTCACCTACACTAGCAGAAGTGAAAAGCGAGATTATGGCGGCATACTTTTCCCTTCAGTACTCAAGAGACACAGAGCTAGACTGCCTGACCCAACATGACAGTGTCACACAAGCGTGACTTTCTAGGAGCTGTACCCAGCTATTTTCAAGGCCTGACCCACATAAGTTGGTATGCAAATGGCAACACAGAACTTTTGGAAAAATCTCTCTTTGGAGATAAAATGACACTTGGATCCACTGCTCTAAATTGTAGCCTGCAAAGCCATTATCAATTTTTTTGTGCTTTCATGAATTGTAGTAGGTGCCTACTGCTGGGCAGGTGAAAGCATTCGGTGGAGGGTGTGTGGAGGAAGGATTAGCAGAGAGGGGAACTGTGCGATCTCCCTCCATCCACATCAGTGTTGCCTTGTATGATACCTCAGGCCGTGTTGCAGTACATGTCACACTCATATTTCTGCTGATCTGGTAATGCAGAATTAGTGACTATTTGCAAGCTCTTCCCTACTTTCATTTGGCATATGAACTGGGGTTTATATGGGGTATTGTCTGGAATTCCTTATGACTGCAGTTTTTCAGTCCTGTGAAAGGGTCTCAGAATTTCTCTTTTAGGATGTGTGTTACTGATCAACGAATGTATGCTTGAGCAACTGAAGCGTTGAAGTGCACACATAAAGTCTAGTCATGCCTTCATCTACTGGCATTTTAATCTTGCTGTACTCTTTGTATGAGTTTGGAATATAAAAGTGGAAGTCTGGAAATTCCCCAACCACAGCAACAGGGTGAAGACCTAGGAAGACCACATACTTTTCCCTTCTATTAAAAGAAATGTAGATTCTGTCTCAGTCTGCTTTGATCATTAACAGACAATATGATCTATACCAGTTTGTTTTTATATTTTTTTCACTGTAACTGCTCCAAATTCTTTGGTTTTTGATTACAGAGAATTGGTAGCTATGATGATTCATTTTTATATTGAGCCTAGGCAAACGGGGCCCAGTATAGCTGCAGGTCTCAGTTCTGTTTGATCATATTTATGAATGTTCTACGGCAGTTCCTAACTTCTATATTCAGTTTTAAAGCAGTGTTTTAGTGTATTTCTGTAAGAAAGTATTTATAACTAAATACAAAAGAGTCACTGAACATTTAACTACTTCTTGTTTAATTTGATACTCATTACCCGTGCAGACCCTGCCAGCAACAAAGGTGTTGCTGCAGAAAGTCATTGAAGTGCCTAGTTGTCTTATTTTGAAAGCAGTGTTTTTCTTTTATAGCTCAAAGTGAATGAGACAGTGTTGTGTATAGGTGTGTGTAACTTCTAAGGGGCTCCAATCTTGGTGTGGTTTTTTTTTATTTCAATGTTTTTTGTTTTTTGTTTTTCTCCGGAACTTTTCAGAGCGTCCTCTGCATTATACAGAGAATGTACTAGAACAAGTTCTTCACTGGAGTTCACTACCAGAGCCTGGCACTGCATATCTGATAATAAAGAGATTTCTAACAGCAGACATGCTAAAACACTATAGTGGTACGTACCTTTTTTAAAACTTAGATATTTCACATGGGGACATGAGGATGGCAGTCCTTTTATAGCTGTTTCATTGGGGCAAAGTCTCCCAGAACATCTGAATTACTGCTACTTTATGACAGGTACTGATTTACTGAGGGTTGTGCCGACTTCCTTTTAAAACATAGAAATTATGGATGTTCTTGTTTCTACAAACTATAAGCTCTCCCATTTGAACATAAAAGTATACAGAAGTTCTGTGTTCTGAAGCTGTGAAGCTTGAGACTGCTTTTTCATCCATAGTGCAGCTCTGCATAGTCCATCCACATACATACTACACTATACTGTCTGTGGACTACATATATGCATATCTTGTCTATAGAATGATTACATTATATATATAAAATGTACATTTTTATATAATTATGTAAGTTTGTTATATACAAATAATAATTTCTACTATATAATCTGATGCCTCCAAACTACAAAGCTAATTTGAACGACATAAGCAACTGAATAACTTATAGAGTATGTGGCCATTAAAAAGGATGAGGAATTAAGATGAGGAATTAAGATCTGACACTTGAAAGCAAAAACAGCGCAAATATTTAGTGGAAAAATATGATTTACAAACTGTCCCTGTCCTATTTTGTTGTTTTGGTTTTTTTTTACATAATACCTGGATTTAAGTCGCCTGTGTAATAATCTGTAGTATTTGCTTTGAGGGAAGCAGGGCTTTAGAAATTAAACACGTCCAAAATTAACTATACTGTTTTCAAGCAGTTGAAATCCTGCATGCCATCACTGTAAAACATGTGATGGTGACACATGATGCCTGATTTAATGCCCATCTGATTTTATCTAATGACTTATTCAAATATGTAAACTTTTCTTTTCCTCTCTTGCCCATACTCAAAGGTATTAATCTCTCCATCTATGTATCTCTTCTGTCTTTATTTCAAGAAGTAAAAGTTATGCTGTTATGCTTATTCTTCTGAAAGCAATAACCTTCTCTTATCCTATATTCCACAGATATGAACCAACCTTAGCAGGTGTGCTATTCATGACTTTTATGTTTGAGTTTCACTGTCTCTAAACGTTTCATAGCAGATAGTGAAAAGAGAGAAATGGCCTATTTCATTAAAAGCTTGATAAATGAACTCCCATCACCTCTCATCATAAGGACTGTGTGAACTGCTGCTCTGAGAAACACATAAAGATTAGGCTAGTGTTAATTCACAAAATGTAGTACTATTTAAAGGGGAGATCTGCCATTTGCCCTCCTACTTCTCTCCTAATTTTTACATCCATTTGTTCTCTCAACCCCTCACAGTAATTGTTTGCATTAATTCTATTCATTTTGACCTTAGTCTAGACACACAGGCTTTTGACTGAATGTTTATGTCTACTGTTGGGTTTTTAAAATAATTAAAACCATCGTTAATAAGTTATATTGGTTTTCTTAGTGGTGTGAAGGGAAAAAATCTCTGCCATGTTGCAGACTTACAGTGTTGATCTCTGCAAATTCTACATGGCAGAGTAGTCTCACGTATTACAAAATTTTTTCTTGAGACTGGAATTGTCATTTTAAGGAACTTTTTCATGGTGAACATACTTTAATTTCTAGAATGTTGCTTTTTATGACTGGATGTTTTTATAATAAAATAATGTTTAAAATAAACACAGTTCTGTAGTAAATTCATCTCGTTAAGAGTTTTTGAGTCCACTTTTAGCTTGTACGTTTACTGTGAAACATTAGCAAGACTGAGGAGCAAGTTCACTAGCTTCAGCAAAACAGTCTGTATATTAAGTATAGGCAAAAATGCACAGAAAGTCTGCACCATTCATCCACATTTTGTAGTTGCAGGAATCTACATGCTGTATCTATTTCTAATCTTGCATCTGTACACAGTGTGAAAACAAGTAAGCAGCTACTTCAGGACAAAAAGATACAGGGTTTTTTTAAACAAATGCCGTGCTTCCATCACTAGACAGTGTCAGAGCGAGAAAAGATACAGGATGAGGTCATTGGGGAAAGGATGCTCCCAGTGTCTAGTAGAGAAGGCAGTTGTGGTTATGTTGGAGTTCTCCATCTCAAAGAGCACAAGAAATAATTGCTGGCTTGAAGGAGGAAGGGGAGACCTTCATCTTTTCAGTCTTCTACATTCTTTATGTGGATAATTCCTCCTCACTGAGTAGTAGTAGGGCTGAGGCCAGACATCCAACCACTAGTTTTTGAAGTATGTATTTTAACAACTTGCCCATACAAATGGACAAGTGTGTGGATGGATGTCCTTCTCCTCCACAGTAAAATTAATAGGGCTGTGGTCATAGTACATTTATCACTGAATTCCATGAATTTCCCTTGGTTCTCTGATTTATGTTACAATCTTACAGACTAAATTACGATATTCCTGACCTTTTTTCTCTTAATGTTACCTCAGAGCTTTATGTCATCAACACTTTTCTCCCTTTTCTTCCAGAGACTTCAGTGATGTTTGAAATAGTGTTGGTTCAATAGTGAGCCTAAAAAACCAACTCTATTAGCCTCGTTTCATCTTGGTAACTTATTATTGTCTTCCCTGTCAGTGCAACTTTTCCCATGTTCCTTACACATAGTACATTCTCCATTTTCATAATATTATACTCATTCTCATTTTGTCCATTTTAAACTAATTTCTTATGTTGTGCAATATCAAACATTGTATTGAGGTCTAGATGTATATTTCAGTTTGTCTAGAAATCAACTTTCTTTTTCAAGTTGAAGTATTAGTTTATTTGTATTGATATGTTTCAGTAAATTGGTGGTGAGTTTTCCACTTTCCTCTAGATCTTTAGTTATTCTCCCTTGACAACTTACTCCACAGCTTTACGTGCTTGTTGCAGGAGCACCCTTTCAAGTGCTTTTCAGAAGGGCAAGGTGTGCATTATATTTTGGTCTAACAGATACTCAGTACAGCTTGGTTCTATTTCAAGACCCTTTTTCTTCTCCTTACCTGAATATTTCCCACATTAAAGTTTTATTTGTTAGAAAAACAGGAGAGAATAGATCCACTCTAAAGTGTGCATATATAGGTCCTTGAAAATTTACCAGTAAAGGGTTGTATAATTTGAGTGGGAAGTATTGATTTCTGAGAACAGGGGCTATTATTCAGACATATTCTTCAAAACACAAACATCTAAACTATAGGTGGATCAGTCCTGAATGGACTGAGTGCATCTAGTTCCTAGTAGTTGCAAAGTTCTAGAAAGTTTTGCATGTTTTGTAAAGTTTTATGTGAAAAATCACTCTGTTTAGGACACCTCTGGATTATTTTAGATTTACTTTATGAAATACTGGCTTCTAATTATTATCTATAGAATAATTATATATAGAATATATATAATAATTAGAATTAGAATATAGATAATAATTAATTAGAATATAGATAATACTACAGAACATCATCAATTTAGAGGATTTTTTTTTTTCCTCCTTCAGGCTTTTCTAAGATCTGTGTTAAGTATCAAGTGTTTGATAGATTTGCTGTGGTGGCAATGCTGTGAAGTTTAGAATGAGTTTTTGTCATGTAGAGAGCTATGTGCAGAAATGTAAAAAATCTTCCAATTTGATACAGATGTGGAAGTATCCTGGTACTCTGATTTGGTATCAAAGCTTGTGATTGTGTGGATAAAGACTCATATTCTATTCTGACCATGAAACAAATATTCTTATTGGCAAAGGGGGAATGCATTAATGCTTTTTAAAAATCTGTATGTATATTTGCACTTATAACTGAGGCAATCCAAATAACTTCTGATTTTAGTGTAGAAATGTATTGATCCTGGCTTTAGATTCTATCTTGAACTCTAATGAAAATACCGGGAAATTTTCTTTTGAGCTTTTCCTTTCCCAACAAGCATGCTAATTAGAATGTAGATGGGTTTATTTGATGAAATCAGTGAAGCTTATTATCTTTTAAACTTCCATTATATTTTAAAATGTTTTTCATAACATCAGTTTGTACTAAGATATAAAGCAAGATGGAATTAGGTTCACAATTTTTAATTATCTTCTTTTTACAAATAATTGGGGTTGGTAGGAGGAATAATTTAATTCTGACTCTTTAAACAACTGTTTTTCAACCAGTATGAAAGATGAGATTGAGATACAACTTTTTAAGTTAGTCCCAAATTCTCTCTACACTGTACAAACGATAGTAGAATCTGACTCTGAGTTTTGAAATATAACATAGCTGGTTTTTTGTATGCATTTTAAAGTGTATTTGCATAATTGGGTGTTTGAAACTGGATATCACTCATGTACTTTTTGTACATGCACAACCATGCATCTAATGCATCAGTATATTTTTCACTACTGAAATGTTGCGTTTTTTCCTAAACAGTCATGTGTGGAATAACTGTCTACAGGTTCTTTAAAAGAAGAACAAAACCCATAAGTACTGAAATGCAGGTAGTTGTAAACAGTGCTGTGCAACATATTTGTATTAGACCCTGCAATTTGTGTTCATTAGTGATGTTTCCTGCAAATTCTTAATTCTCCCTTGTCAACTCTTGTACTTGCTTTGATATTGACTGCTCGTTTAGTAAAATGTATGAAGATGGAAAAAAATATATAATTTCGATTAGTACGTTACAGCAAGTGTTGCTTCCAAAGCATGACTGTGAAATACCTCTCTTCACAAATAAAAAAAAACTATGCAGACAATGAAAGTTGGTCTTTTCTGTATTACTATTTCCCTGACCAAATGAAAATATATTTATGTTACTTTTTATTATTGATTTATTTAAAATATTTTATTTTTATTGTGTGACTATATTGTGTGCTGCTTCTTAATAATAGAATTTTGATATCAGATGCTCAAATCCTAAGTGGAATTTTAATGAAAAAAGCCAATCGAGTAGTTATATAAGGATGTTATTCTTCATACATCACATACTCCTTTTACAACACAATTTTATTTATTATCTTGAAATTAATACATTATAAAAAAATAGTGGTATCATTCTGGGACTCCAAA